GCGGCTGTCCCACTGCTGGCGTGCTCCGAGGCTTTGCTCCCCATCTCCCTGGTCTGCTGGTCGGGAGACGGGGAGCAAAGCCGCGGAGCACGCCCGCAAGGGGACAGCTCAAGCGCGCCCGGGCTGTCCCGCTGCGGGCATGCTCCAAGACTTTGCTCCCTGTCTCCCTGCAGAGCAGGGAGACGGGAAGCAGCTTTTCTCGCCCCGGAGGACAGGGGTGGCAGACCGCGGCACATCTGGGCGTCCTGCCGCTCCCGTCCTCTGGGGCGAGAAAAGCCTTGTTTGTAACATAAGTCGGATCCGCGTAACTCGGAGACTGCCTGTAGTAGCTACTTTGTCTCTATTTGAAAGGGCAAAGCAGGTATTATTACAGAGGATGCATTATAAGCCCTTAGCACTACAATTAAACTAAAACCAAGAAGCAGTAAAAGCTGGTAAGGAAGAAAGAGGAGGTGAAGGAGAACAAGAGAAAAAGGGTATGAAGACTACTTTTAGTTTCATGCATTCTGTATACATATATGAGAACGACATTAACTTACAATATATTTCTTAAATAGCTTTAATATAAGATTATATTCCTCAATATTGTTTTGTAAGATAAAGTCAGGAGATGCATTAGAAAAGGCATTTGACAGCTGATAACATTTGATTTAAAAGCAGACATTCACTAATATGGAGAAGAACATTTACTTACAACTTGGTTCCTATAAGAGCATTGCTCTAGGATCTTTGTATTTAAAACAATCCTGTTCAAAATACATTTTTTGAATATTTTGAAAAAAATATTCAGAGAGCAGAGAAAAGTCAGTTACTTGGAAGTAAGTCAATCACTTATGCTACTTTCATTCACCGTTTTTTAAAATGAGCATTAAAATTTGTCAGAATTAGTGGAAATAAAAGTTCCTTTTCCAGTTACAGGAAAAACTACAGCATGTGACAGGTCACAGATAGTTTACTACAGACCTCCGTTGCATGGTATTTAATATTCTTGTAAGGATTTCATTCCAGCTTCTCATATGGAAGATAAAGTGTGTAGATGCTTAGTTTCCTGCACTCTGTATTCTACTACAGTAGAGGCCATTTTATACAGTCACTAATATATGTTGCTGAGTACTTTGATATTAAATTGCCTTCTAGTTACGGTGTTTAGCTGAAAATGGTAGAGGATAAACTCTTTTGTAGTTTTTTCTCTTAAGCTAGCCTACAAACAGGAACTAGCCTAGAAACATGTCAGCATAGTCCAGATGGACAAATAACACACAGAAGATTAGATTCACACCTCCATAATGCTGTGAAATAATGTTTGTTAGACAAGCCCAGAGTGACTCAGACAGCACTTTTACCTGGTCAGTTGTATCTCCTGCCATAGTGCATCAGTCTCAGAGAATAGTCTTGCAGCACCTTAGAGACTAAGAAAAAATGTATAGGGTAGATGTGGGCACAACCCACTTTTTCAGATGAAGACGACTGTTACGTTTTTACAGTTACAGACTAAACAAGGTTACCCCTCTGAAACTTCAGTCTCAGAGAGGTAATCGTGTTAGTCTGTTTTTATAGTGACAACAGTCATTGAGTGTTCTTGAGGCTCTGTGCACCACATACAGCAGCAAAGCACAAAGACAGAAAATAGTTACGTGCTCAGAGAAGGAGTGGGCGTTAGTATGATTGGTGCCGTTGTTCTGAGGTCTACATATTCTCCTTGCCTGAAAAGATCCTTTCATCAAGTGGAGCAGAAACATTGATCAAAATTTCTGAAATGCCATGAAATTCAGGGCAAGTTATTTATAGAATGCTTTGTTTAGTCAATTAAAAAAAAAGATGCATATCCCATTATATTCCTATGCATGTAAGAGAGGTTAAGCAGTTTAGTTTGTTTCCCAAATCTAGAATAATTTTGTTATATAAATTGCATTTATTTTATTTTTTTAAGAAAGTTGGTGCCTCTAGGCTTAACTAATGCTAAGAAAAATACAGTACTGTGGTTGTTTATAAGTGGTACTTCTATAGTCACAAATTATGACAGTGGTCTTATTCCAACTACATATTGTTGACTATACAGTTTATCATCCAGCTATAACCAGTTTCCCCACTTCTAGCCCTAATCTTCAATAACCTACCGATTTGTAGTTGTTTGATTTCTCCTGCCTCTGTTACCCATTTACTCTTCTCTGTTAATTCCCCCCCCCCTTTTTTTTTTTTACATTTTTACATTTTTTTACATTGCTTGGGTTTGTAACTCTGAACTTTGGGGTGGAATTAGTATGTTTTCCTTACTATTTACTAAGTGGTTGGCATAGTATTAGGTCTGGACCAAACTCCTGGGATGTTTCTTGATTCCTCCTCCACTTGACATGAAACCACTACGAAAACTGGTCCTCCTAAGCAACTTACATTGTCAAAGAGCAATATAGATTTGATGTGCAGTTCTGTACTTCCCAGGAAAGAAGTGAAAAAGAAACTCTAGCTTCTTGGACAAGTTATGTAGCAGGCTACTGTAGTTCTACCAGTTCTACTGTAGTTCTACCATGCAAGACAATCTTTAAGAAAACCCTTTTTTTCTTGAAAGTGACTGTGGGGAAAAGGGATGGGTGTTTGGAGCCTAAATGAAGAGTATGTGGGCTGGAAATGCTGAGAGAGTGCAGGTAGCATTGTGTCAGGAGAGCGTTGTTTCCAAAGGAAAGGAAAAGCACAGTAACTGAGTTATTCACATCTGTACAGTGCAGTCCCTTTTGATCTCCTGATCCTCAGTAGCTACAGCACAGACTGTTTCACTTTACTTAGGATTCATTTTTAACCAATTCCAGGACTGCTCCAAATTCTAGTCCCATGGCATCGTACTCATTTATATCTCCTGGCCCATATACACACACACAGCCTCCTGAACACTGTTTCTACAGGAATCACTTTTCAGTTAAAAAAAAATCATAATTTGGAGTTTCCCCCCTTTGGCCTTGATCAACGCCATTCACTTAACTGAGCCAGAACAGCTGACAAAATACTAGTAGGGTTTTTACCAATAGGAATTAGCGACTGAACATGGTTTGCTTTTTTGTGTGTTCAAATCTACATTGTCAACAAACTTCTGTAATTCAGCCAGATCTATTTGTTTTTCATTAATATAGGGGTGGATCAGGCATTGCCGCAAGAACGTCGAACTCCTGTTACCCCTTCCTCTTCCTCACGATATCATCGTCGCAGGTCCTCAGGGTCACGGGATGAACGCTATAGGTCAGGTAAGTAGAAAAGAAGAACACAAAGGTGGAGAGCATGTCCTTTCTGTTTAGATATTTGCTGTGGGACAGGACAGGGGACAGGAGTTTGCCCTGCTCTGCATATGCTGTGGGTACATATGGCTTTGAGAAGCAGTGGAATGTCCCCCCTTCAGTGCATAGAGATAGGTACATCCCCATCTCTTAGGCTTTCAAAAGTTTCACATTCAAATTTTCCTCATTGGCCTGTTTGCCTTCAGTGAGCCACCCCAAAACTCTTGAAATGAACAGTTCTGAACTTCAGCATCCAAATTTTATAGCCACTAAGATTTTTCAGATGTCCAAAGAAAAACTTAATCAGGTGACTACATTAATGCAATATCATGCCACATTATCTATTTTTAAAATGCAAATTACTGCAGGTAGAAGTTTAGGAAGTGTAGCTAATGTCCATGTATAATAATTAATTCATAAAGAACTTTAGTTGTGGCAGGGCTAAATTAAAAATTTTGTGGAACCAGTGGAAGTGTTCAGAAAGTTCTTCTAAATATGGACCTTTGCAACAGTTTTCCCTCACATAATTTTACCAACTGCTATTTCACAGTCAGCTGAGTCATGGATTATTTCTTTATGCCAGTCGAGGGCCACCCACAAGTGAGAAGTTAAAAACAAAAACAAAAACCAGCTCTCATTGAGATGGCCTCCCCACAGCCTTGAGGGTGCCCGGGCTAGTCGATTTTGTGGTCTCCAATCCCACAGTGTGGCATGGGGAAGGGCACTAGCATGGATCTCCATGGCGGGGGCGGGGGGAAAGTCCTGAGCCGGATACAGGCAAGCAAAAGGCCACATCCAGCCCCTGGGCCTTAAGTTCCCCACCCCTGCATTTTACCATTTGAAAATTGGGTTTCTAAGATGATTTCAGAAGACGCTGATGGATAGTTTTACTGTATCGTGTCAAAATAGTGTTGTCATGGCCCCCATGCTTTATGACAGTTGGCTTATAGATCTAAAGATGCATTACTCAAAAGATACTTTATGCAAAACAGGTCATGTAACATATCAGTTACAATCTGTTGAATGTGTGTCTCATTCTTGTGCGTTTATCATTCTTGTATGTGAAGTTAGAAATATGAAGTGTGAATCTGTTATAATTCTAAATGTGCTAATGAGGGCTCTTACTGATGCTCTAGAAACATAATGACTTAGTACTCTAACCAAAGGCACGTGATTGGTTGTGTTTGTCCTGTAAGCCGAAATTGTGGTTGGTCCTAGAGCAGGGATGCACAAATACTAGCCCATTGGCTGGATTCACTCTGCCAGGGTTAGTCCCTGGCCTGCTGCCACCAGTCCAATGGAAATTGTGGGAATTGGTGTCCCAATTTGCGCTATTTCCTACAGTTCCCATTGGTTGGGAATTCCATTTGCATTCTTGGGAACGGCCAACAGGAGCTGCAATTGCCAGTACCTGTGGAGGCACAGGTAAATATAGCGGTGGTGGCCCACTAGGGGCTAACTCTGGGCAACCACTGCTATTTTATTGCCCAGAGAGACATGTAACTATGTCACTTGGCACTGGAATCCATCTTGAACTGGTACTTTTCCCTCGGGATGGGGCGGATGCTGAACAAATGTTCCCACTCGGGGCAAAGTCTGTTTAAGCAATGGGAAGCCATCAATCCTTTCTCTTTGGCTGGCCTTTGAAACTGCCTGACCCACCCTAAGAGGATACAAAGAACTTTGGGAAGCTGTAGATCCAAGTCAGAGTAAATATCAACTCTGACTTGAAGTTTTTACTTGAGATAAGAACAGCTGTTTAGGGTAAGAATTTGCATGTGACAAGTTTCTTAGTGGATTAAAACTAGCTAGCATGTTTTGTTCATTTTAACTTAGTAACTTACATTGCTTAAATCCTGTTTAATAAAAACTACTTTTGTTAATTATCAAGCCAAGTATAAGTAATTGTTCCAGGGGAAAGGGAGCACAACGTCTGTGCATATCTCTCTTTCATTGATAAAGTGTGTGGAGCTTATTAGCTTTCTTTGTTTAAAAGTTTTACACAGAGTAAGATGGATATATTTGGGGTTTGGTCCCTTTTGGGGGTTGGTTTCCTGAGTGCTGAGCCCTTATAGCTGAACCCTCCCAGGGTGTGTCTAGACTATAGGGTTTTTTCGAAAAAAGTGGCTTTTTTTCTAAAAAACTTCACCTGCATCTAGATTGCTGAAATTAAATCGAAAGAATGCATCAGTTTTTTCGACTGCGGAAAACCTCATTTTATGAGGAAGAACACCTTTTTCTTTAAAGTGCTCTTTCGAAAAATGGCGTTCTTAATGCAAACAGGGCTTTTTCAAAAGAGAGCATCTAGACTCTTTTTCGAAAAAGCAGCTCACTTTTTCGAAAAATCTGCTTTCAGACTAGACGCTCTTTTTCAAAAGAGGCTTGTAGTTTAGACGTACCCCCAAAGCGGAACCAGTTCAACATCTGTGTTGCTTTGCAGGGGGGTAGTAACCCAACTCTGTGCCTTGTCTGGATGAGTGTGACAATACACAAAGTAGGAGGAGTCAGCTGCCTCAAGGATATGCCCATCCAAAACCGTAGGGACATGTCTCCTGTGTAAGGAAGGCCTGTGCTCTGCTGCCATAGACTAATTATAACAAAAACTAACAAGCAGTTGTGACAGTCCAGCACAAAATACCCACAGATCAATTAGCTGGATCTCCTTTATCAGAGGACTTGTACTTGGCCATATCAAAAAATCTAATAAATCAAGAATTGGGTAGGGTCTCTGCACTCTCTCACAGTCAGCAAAAACAATCAAGCGCCAACTTTGATTATGGACAGGGACTCATGTATGAAATTACACAACCACACACATTGCTGCATTATCATAGATTAGTTTTTAAATTGTCCCACATTTGTTCAAGATCTAAGCTGTCCTCTAAAAATAAACTAAGCCTTCTGGCCTATTTGGCTACAAAGAACCTGACAAAAACCTGACAAATGCATGCTATGATGTCTGCAGACAGCTTTAGCTCAGAGATGTGGGAGTTGCTCCTGTTCACTTCAACTGGATGATCATATCGAACACTGATCATTTAAACATCAGTATTAACTCTCTCAAAAATTAAGCAAGTATATTTAGCTGTTCCTGAAAGATGTTGGGGCAGAGTTGAAGGAGCAAGTAGCTTCTGTCAAGGGTTGGTAAGTGGGGAGCAGGCAATTCAAAGTTTTAGTTGCTGCCCAAAAGAGGGAGAGAAAAAAGAGTCTATATCCCCTCCCCAGGACAGACCTGCAAATACCACATCCACGTGAGACTCCTATTTCTGGCTACTGGCTGCACTGCTTCTACCCCAAATGACACAGCAATGGAGTAGTAACCAAGGCATTGTTGGGCCCTTTGGTAGGTTATATAGTTCTGCCTAAATGTGGTCGGTATGGGTACAGTATTCTAGAACTCTAATCAGAGAGCCCCCACTAAAAGTGTTGTCCCACAACCCACCCCATGGCGAGAGAGGGTGAAAATGGCCTGATTTTTCTCTGCATATTTGATTTTTCATCTTAATATTTTTAACTAAATCTTTCCTTGAAAAATGTAAACTGAAAATCTTCAAGGAAAGTTTTAGAGTTTTTGACCAGTCTCTACCCATGGCCATAGAGCTGTCTACAGTGGTGGTAGTGGGCAGTGTGCTTATAGAGCAGTGTTTCTCGGTGATCCATGGATCCACTCTGAGAAACCTGCTGACTGGCTGCTCTGGTTTGTTTATTTACCGGCTCCGCAGCCATGGAGGCTAGCGGCTCCCATTGGCTCCAATTTGCTGTTTGCAGCCAAGGGGAGCTGCAGGAAGTGGCGTAGGCCAGGCTGCTGCTGCTTCCCCCACCTCCCCTTGGTTGCAACAGGCAAACCAGAGCCAATGGGAGCTGTGAGGCTCCCGGGCTGCAGTCAGTAGATAAATAAACTGGAGTGGCCCATTAGCAGGTTTTTCAGAGTGGATCTGTGAACCACTTAGAGAAACACTGCTATAGAGAGTTGCTCTAATCAAGAAAAATAATGATTTTTAAAACAGTTAAGTAGTTTTTTATTGGAATTGATTTTTTTAACATTTATTTTTAAACAGAGACATGGCCTTGAGCATAGCAACCTTCGCAGTTGCTGGAGGAGTGCTCAGGTCCAGCAGGATCTGTATCCTGAGAAAGGCATTCTAAGGAGATACAGTAATAGAGATGTAGCCATCTTAGTCTGGTCTAGCTGAAACAAAAAACAGGACTATGTAGCACTTTAAAGACTAACAAGATCGTTTATTAGGTGATGAGCTTTCGTGGGCCAGACCCACTTCCTCAGATAAAAAACAAAACAAAACAAAACAAAAAACAGATACAAGGTGTTTGCACCAACTGCAAGGTAGCTTCTCTGGGCAGCTCAGGTTGAATTTGCCTCCATGACAGTGAATTCCTTGTTAGTCTAATGCTGCTCACACTGAAGTTAGATTTAGAGTCACTGTCCTGCTGAATGGCAGAGATAAACCCTTCATCATAATCTTCTTGTGAAATAATTTATCAAACATTTGTTTGAGTGATCACCCATTGATACTTGTCCTCATACAGGAAGGGTAGTAAATAATGTGTTTCTACCACTCACAGTCACCAACTTGACAAAAACAAGAGGTGCTACAAAGTGGTCTGCATTTGTTATGAGGAGAGAAAGAGAGTTATAATTTATGCAAATAGCTTACTGTGTATTAATCAAATATAGAAACTAAGGCACCGAGTGTCAAGTGTCTAGCACTTTTATGTTGCCCAGAGAGAGTCCCCTGTAGCCTTGACAAATGTGCCAGTTCCAAAATTTGGATGCTAAAAAAGCAGAACTGCTGCTCATGTCTTCCAGCATGCCATTCCCCCCGCAGCTAATGAAGCCTTTCCATTGATACAATGCATCTACTCAGTGTTCGTATAAAAACCTTTAACACAAATAAAATGTAAAGTTTGGGAACATTATAAAGTAAACAACAATGAGAATCCTGGGCAGATCT